CCCCAAAACCCCAAAACCCCAAAACCCCATCATTCGCTATATAGTTTAATGTATTTTTAAAAAATCAAGATTAAATCTATTTGAGTGGATTTAAGTATTGTACTCAACTTGTTCTTGGATCTATAATTTTTCATTATGATTTTAACTTAAAACTTACTTGAATCAAATAATCCATACTTTATTGTTTACTAGATTGGTTTCGTTGCATCTGGACCTTTAGCATTTCTATCTACTAAATCATTCTTGATTCTTTCTTTGGCTTCTGCTTGTAAATCTATTTTCTCTCCTGGATCACCTTAAACTAATGGATCAAAAGATCTACCAGTCATATTTTCATAACCAACTCTATAATTACTTTGAATCACTAATTTGGGACTGTTAAATGAAGTATCAGTTGTTTTGACCACCTTATTTGACTCTTCATAATCGATAGCTCCCTTATTCAAATTATACTTGTCATAGTTAGTGTCTATCTCCACTCCTTCTTTATCTACGCCAATAGCTCTCATTTATTCAATGTCTGCTTTTTTTCCTTACAAATTAGACTTTTAATCCACGGAATCCTGATTTTATTTTTCTTTCAATTTAACACTTCCTTGATCTTAGGCGCCACCCTCATTGCCCATTCTATCAACATCTTCCTTCATATTTTTAGATGTCATTACATCTCTTGCCAATTCTTTTTCTTCTATTGTATCGACTAATTAGTCAGGCTTTAATTTTTCAAGCTCTTTTTTATCAACACCTAAATCTTTGTGAGGCACAGTTTCTGTGTTTCGAAGATTTTAAAGTTCTTACAATCTTCTGAAATATAATGATTCATCATCTAGTTCTCCTCCAAGATTCACAGTGTAATCAGCTTCTGGTTTATTAATTGAGCTGAATACTCTTAAATTTCTAATGGCAGTTTAATAAGACAACTTAAGAACTTTGTTTAGCATAGGAAATAAACTTATTTAATTGATTGATTGATTATAAAATAATATGTATCTATTTCTTCAAATAATGATTGCACTAAGGGGTTTTGGGGTTTTGGGGTTTTGGGG